ATCATATAGAATAGAGTAGTAGCACACTGCAGATGTATCAATTTTTGTTGAAAAAATCTCCCAACACCATATTCATTCCTCCCTCCCACCACAGCAGGCTAACCTCTATGTGTCTCATCACCAGGCCTATCCTCCCTCCGTCCCTCCTTCAGCATTACACCAACTCCCTCCCTCAATAAACACCGGAACCAACCCCTCACTCTCCCATTTCATCTTCTGAGAGTTATCGCTCACCCTGAGGGCTCCCCGAGGAATACGTCCCACAGCCTAATATAGATCAGATGGAGTCTGGCGAAAGGTCAACCATGATCTCTAAATAAAATCGTTCGTACACCAAGAGGAGTAGCTATTTAGTTTTGGATACATAACATACGATACAATGGTCTTGGTTTTGGATACATAACTTACGATACAATGGTCTTGGAAGTACACGTATGCCATGGACGCGTCAAAAGTATATTATTCAGGTTTAACCTAGGATAACCCAATAAAATCAAACACTGTGACTTACGTCCACTGTGGTCCCTAATATTAGAAGGTAAGGCGACGCGTTTATCTTTTTCTTTCTTCCTTCTTTCGGCTGGAGCTATGATATGGCTACTGCATCTGGGAAAAGTGTCAGCAAAAACCCATCAGGGAAGCAGGCATAATCGAACTAGCCGATTGCGCCATCGTAAAGCGCCGTCTCTCCCAGTGTCGTGGGTAGAAGCTGGAGGAAGAGAAGAGTGTTTCATGGACGAAGCTGGAGGAAGAGAAGGGTGTTTCATGGACGAACCCAAAAGAAGCTCCTCATCCCTCCTCCAGGTGAGTGCTTAGTACCACTAGACTCGCCGAGCCTTGGAACGGCACCCAACAACACCTGACTTTTTATGATGATGTAGGTAGGTAGTCAGTGACTACCTACCTACATCACATATGGAATAGGTTACACATATTCCATATGTGTAACCTAGCCTGAGTAAATGCAACACTGAGATCAAATTTTGTGTAATGAACATAACTGTGTATTATATTCAACATTTTTTTAGATGTACCAAGAAAGCACAGTTAGTGTCACTGATACAACCATGTCACAGAAATGCTTGTTGTAAAATCATCCAATTGTGAGCTCTGCGGTTCAGCGTATGGACCACTGTTACAGCGTATGGACCACGGTTACAGCGTATGGACCACTGTTCGTATATCAGTCCATTCTTCTGTTTATTCACTGACAATCACTGACAATCTGCCCGCCTGGCCAGATCACCCACCAGGTGACTCTCATAGCTGGCCAGCCCTCCCACCTTACTATCTCCACGACCCGCGTAGCTTTATCCCTACTGAGCTAACCCGCCCTACTGGGTAGCATCCTCACCTGACCATTTGACAGGGCTACTCACCCGTCTTACGAAATCGTAATGACACGATTGCAAACAAACCATACCACCCGCTTAACCAATCAGCTCACCTACCTGCGCAGTTGACCAGCTCACCCACATATCGACACGCCCACTATTATTATTATTATAATCAAGAGGGAAGCGCTAAACCCGGAGGATTATACAGCGCCTGGGGGGGGGATGTGGAAGGCATTCAGGCTTAATTCGGAGAACTGGAGCACAGATCCAATTCCCTAAATCAAGAGCCCCTCACCAACATCAAGGAACCTTCCTTGAGGGGACACGCCCACTAGCCTTCCTAACTGCCCAGCCGGCCAGCCCACCCACTCAGCCTGTCGACTAGAGCGGCAGTTCTCCACAAGCTGTCTCCTTCAGGCCACAGGGAGGTTGACAAGATATTATTAATACTGACGAAGTGTTTTCACGCACTGCGTAGTCCATTTCACGTTAAAGAAATGTTCAGTAGGACGTCCTGTGTAAATACTCATCCTCAATACTAATGTTGTTCCTTTATAAAAGTCGTTTTGGTGAAGTTCTCCGGGAGCGTGTGGAGAGGAAATGCAGTGATGAGCAAGGCTCTCAAGTTTAGCAGTAGTTTTTAGAAATGTCGAATAACAATGAGGGGGGAAAAGAGGCGACAGAAACTTTACGTTAAAGAAATGCTGATGGTAATTATTCTGTGAACTAAGCACTGAATGAGCTGTGAAAGTCTAGGTCAACTGAATTAAACAAAGTAATTTTAATGTCTGGGGAAGAAAATCAAGTCGTAAATCCATTTTTTTTAAAAGATGTTAAGTTTTCAAGAAAGACAATATTCTCTAAAATGATCCTCGGCACATAACAGCGGCTAAGATAAATACCCCAAGGAACACCAACAACTTTAAGACGAGGACGAGCTGAAGAAGAGCGCGTGCGTACATACAGAGGCTCTTCTTTCTACTGGGTCATCTTCGTGAGCAGAGCGGAGGGATAGCAGCAGTCGTTCAATAAATTCTGCCTGAGCGAAATAAAAAGATTCGATTTTGTTCTCTCATTCCTTTCACGATGAATACTAAGTGAGGAATGTCTTAGTTCCTCGGGTTGCGTAGACCATATTGCATGTAAGTCTTCCCTCCACCCTCACACACACACACACACACACACACACACACACACACACACACACACACACACACACACACACGCAGACCCACACGCACACGCTCACACACACACTCATTTTTAAGAAGAGGCATGATAAAACTCATGGAGCAGGGAGAGAGTGAACCTGGTAGCGACCAGTGAAGAGGCGGGGCCAGGAGCTATGAATCGACCCCTGCAACCACAATTAGGTGAGTACATGCACAATGATCAGCCATTACTCCAGGAAAAGTTGTCGTGTCTAATATTACCGCTTAGTTGTTTGCTACGTATCACAAGGGCAAAAATAAACATTTCTCTAGTTCAATCCCTCACTGTCATGAACATTCTGTTTTCATATTCTTTTGAGTTATAGATTTTGCAATTCATTAGAGACAAGATGAACACATCAACACTTCGTGCAAAGGAAAACCTACATAACATTTCGGTAAATGTTAGTGTGGTAACACTCTGTCTGACTTTTTTGGGTTATCCCAGGTTCTCTACACATATGCTGCTATGTATGATAATTCTATGTAACTGTATTTGTGTATACCTGAATAAACTTACTAACAGTGAAATGTTCTGCTAGATAAAAAGGGATTTAGTTGTGCTTATTTACCTTCATTTCACTATTGAAGGTGTTTAAACTTTTAACCCGGGGGAGGGTTAGCCACCCAGAGTATCCCGGGGGAGGGTTAGCCACCCAGAGTATCCCGGGGGAGGGTTAGCCACCCAGAGTATCCCGGGGGAGGGTTAGCCACCCAGAGTATCCCGGTGGAGGATTTGCCACCCAGAGTATCCTGGGGAAGGGTTTGCCACCCAGGGGTAACCCGGGGGAGGGTTAGCCACCCAGGGTAACCAGGGGAAGGGTTAGCAACCCAGGGTAACCCTGGGGAGGGTTACCCACCCAGGGTAACCCGGGGAGGGTTAGCCACCCAGGGTAACCCGGGGGAAGGTTAGCCACCCAGGGTTACCCGGGGGAGCGTCAGCCACCTAAGATAACCTAAGGAAGTCAGTGCGTCACGGGATTTGTCTGTCTTATTTCCATTGGGGTCCTTTAATCTACTTCCCCAGGATGCGACCCACAACAGTCGGCTAACACAGAGGTACCTGCTTACCGCTGGGTGAACAGGGGGCAGCAGATGTAAGGAAATATGCCTAACGTTTCCACCCGTGCTGGGGATCGAGCCCAGATTTCTCCTCAGTGTTAGAGCAGAGGGCGCTGCTGACCAAGCCACTGGTACCCAAACTTCTCTACCTTTCCTCTTTATTATTATTATTATTATTATTATTATTATTATTATTATTATTATTATTATTATTATTATTATTATTATTATTATTATTATATACTTAGTAAACATATCTACCCAGCACATTCCATTTCTTAATTTCTCTCACTATGATTAAGTTTTTTGTAATGACACTATGAAACTTGTGTATTCAACTTGTATCTGTGTCCCGTCTTTCTGATCTCGTCCATGGAACATATATCATAATCTACACTTGGAAAATCTTGGAAGGAATGGTCCCAAATCTGCACACAGAAATCACTCCCTACAAAATTAAAAGACTGGGCAGGCGATGCAAAATACCCCCAATAAAAAGTAGGTGCGCCATTGGTACACTAAGGGAAAACACCATAAGTGTCCGGGGCCCAAAACTGTTCAACAGCCTCCCATCAAGCATTAGGGGAATTGCCAATAAACCCCTGGCTGCCTTCAAGAGAGAGCTGGACAGATACCTAAAGTCAGTGCCGGATCAGCCGGGCTGTGGCTCGTACGTTGGACTGCGTGCGGCCAGCAGTAACAGCCTAGTTGATCAGGCCCTGATCCATCGGGAGGCCTGGTCATGGACCGGGCCGCGGGGGCGTTGATCCCCGGAATAACCTCCAGCTAGGTAACCACTGAGTATCTTGGATGTTAGCACTATATATATACCATGATTCTCCTCGCCTTCAGTGATCTAAGGTTTAGATTCACTGATCATTCCCTCGAGTTTGTATGTTTGCCCACATAACCGTAACAAACAATGTGTAATGAAATGAGTTTATTTTTTATATACTTCCTGTGTGTTTACGTGAGTGTTTATGTTGCATAATAGTGCAGGTGCACACAATAATTATAGCAACTATTCCCCTCAAGGGAGGTTCCTTGATGCTGGTGAGGGGCTCTTGATTTAGGGAACTAGATCTGTGCTCCAGTTCCCTGAATTAAGCCTGAATACCTTCCATCCCCTCCCCCCCGAAAGGCGCTGTATAATCCTACGGGTTTAGCGCTTCCCTATGATTATAATAATATAATACTATAGTAACTATTATAGAGACACTATTATAGAGACTATCACTGGAGGAGCCACCCTGGGAAACACTATCAGCGGTACAGTAGTTGAATATGCGCCGTCATAGAAGAGAAGGCAACATAGGTAATGCCAGTGAAGGCATCACTAGAGGCACTACTAGCTTACCACTGGACTCGGCCAGCTGATGGCACCACCCACCTGCATAATCCTAAGGATGAGGGTCATCTCGTTGAAGTTGTATTCCATGGAGAACTGGATCTGGCCCACATTTTCCGTAGGCTCCGAAGTGTCGATGTACATATCCACCAGGCTGAGTGACCGGTTCTGGAAGAACGCCATCTGTGGGGACGAGACTAAGTTACCATCTATTTCCTCACCACCAGCTTGCACAATGGACCACACTCTGCCAGCTGGGAATATTGAAGTAAGCAAAATAATATAGTGAGTGAAGGGAGAATAAACTGAAATAAAGGTATGGTGCTATTGGGTCCAGCTGTCGGTGAGGAAGACAGTCCTAGTTACCCACAGCAGAGAGAGAAACATAGAACCAAGAAACGTTTGGCTTCCTCCTGCGCTCTAATCTTGTATTTAATTATATTGTATTGTATTTATATGAAGCACAAAACCCATGCGAGTCATTCAGCTCAGGGTGTAGTGGGGGCTCGATCCTCCGTCTGATAACAGCGAGGCAGAAACTCTGCTCTCGAGTACTAGAGGAACCCAAGCGTCAACTCATTTCATGTTTCCTGTGAGTGATTTGTCTATCTCATCCAAGACAGCTCTGAAAGTAATCTAACCCAATATCAAATATTCCTATTTTTTCCACCTTGATAAAATTCCGTTCTAGAATTTTAAATGGAAATGTCCAGTGGGCAGACCAAGGACTCTGGGGACGACGTACCATGAAGAGCTCGTCAAGGCAACAGAGACGTTATCGGGATGCGAGAGAAAAAATCGCCTAGAACAAGAGTTTAATTGGAGTTTGGAGTAGCGCACATGGCGGCGACAGCCCAACTAAAGCAATTATCTTTCCCAACCGAGTTAATCTCATCCCGCTACACGAAGAGCTTGTCTTCCATTAAGTTATAACCGGTGTTACGTAGCTACAGTACTTTGTTGACTACATGACGGGGTCTACCAAGTCGTGCATTCCTGTACCTACCTCCCACCCTGTATAAAATAATATATGTACATACCGGGTTCTGCCTGTCCATCCAAGGAAATAAAGACACTGGTAGTGGAGAGTTTATTTCCACTTGTCGGCTCTTTCCAATGTTTTCCTTCCTGCCCAGCCGTATCTACCTTGACGTAGATGCTATATTTTTCTGATTCTAGCTACACGAGTGTATCTGTCTTATTTTGCTGGGTGGTTTCTCAATGACCCCACACTGGTTTAGTGACTTCCTTGCATATACAATAATCTGCTCACTGGTTCAATATACCTGATTTTAACTACCTATCTATTTTTCTTCAATATGTTTGCCAAACTGTGTTTGTCTGGCCACCGGTGTTTGTACCTACTTGACTAGACTAGCTACCCATTTGATCCACCCATTTGATCCGGACTGTAAACATTTTGCATCATATCGCTTTAGTCCCCCTCCCATAAGAATCTAAATAACCACCTCCTTCACGTTCTTTTACTCCATGTTCATATCTAACTGATCTTTCCTCCCGTCCTCATCGTTTTCAAACCTGTCTACCCATCTTCCTTTAATTAATTCCATACTCTTTTTTTTTGCACTAGTCACCTCTGTTTTTTATAAGCCCCTATTTTTAACTCCCATTCCACAGTCTATACTTTCCAGTAATAACTCTTCCACTTGCATATTCATCTAACCTTGTAAATTAACGTGCTATTTGGTCTACCGCCATCGCGCTATATATATATACTTGCTCTTACAGCTTATTCTCCGTTAATTATAATGTAAATATTCAATCAGGTGGTGCAATGATATAATGTGGCTGGCAAGCATTGGTGCTGGCAAACATGAGGAAACGCAGACTTAATATTAGTGCTGGACACTCTAGTGAGATCTGTATCATGAGTGACCGTGTGTCATTGCGGTGTTTACATGACGCCTGAGACTGAAGAAAAGACCCGAAGCAGAACTAGCTTTAATCTGTATACTTTTCGCTGCCCGTGAAGCTCTGTCAAGTAGTTATTTGATAAAGCTTTACAAAGAGCGAAGCGTTATTCCAATTAAAGAGAGTCCTGAAACGTGTCTTCACTATGTTGGGAAGTATGCCATTTGGATCCAGTCTTGAGACTGTAAAAGTACTCATTTTCGGGCAGTGGGTGCGAGTGTCACATGGCACTGTAAACATTAGTGATATGTAACTGGTAATGAAGACAAGAGTGCTACTGCTAGACCATTACAGCCTCAGAGGCGTATGTGCATCAACTGAGTCTAATGGGAAAGCTATTCGGGAATCAGTATTTAGCAAGTGCAGTTTTATTCTTCAGGAGAAAAGGGATGATTTCTGTTAAGGCGGGTCCAGTCATATGAAGACCCACACGCTGGAGCTTGTGTTCATATGACCGAGTCCTTGTGTTAGCTTACCTGTCCAATCCGTAGAAATTATATTTCATATCAGATGTGAACGAGTGCATACAAACTGAGCCTGAAAGGTTTGCCTCACTGAATACAGCACTGGTAAGGGTTTGCTCCTCACGCCACTTCACGCCACTTTACGCCTCTTCACGTCTCTTCACGTGTTTTCATGCCCTTTCACTACTCGTGGACTTGGCTAGACTAGAGCCACAGACGGTAATATCAAGACTGATATTTAACTTCTGCGTTAGCTACTACATTTACTAATGAGTTATAAACATTGAATTAGAGTATTAGCTCTGGATCTTTCTAATGATATATAAACTCTCTGTTTACCTTAATAATATATCTATTAGCTAAATAGACATTGTGACGCAGGTTCGTCAAACATACTGGCATAAAACTTAGCACACTTTCATTTGAAAACGACTAATATTTCACAACAAAAATATCAAAAAAGGTATTGTACGTTTCTAAAACTTGCTATATCTACAATAGTTGTATCAGAAATTTTTACAGGGTTATGTACAAAATATGAAAGAGAAAAGCAATCAGGTTAAAACAGACACCTACTGATTAGCAAGTTACAATACTGGAACAAAGATAACAACGATCAGGTCAAAAATCCAAGAACAACACGTAATGCTTAACAAGGATTCCAGTGAGTTAAGACAGGCACAGCGGATATATGCAAACATGGACTAGCCATACACATAGGAGCCAAAGTTGCTGGGTGCCATAAGTGGCAGAACATTATATATATATATATATATATATATATATATATATATATATATATATATATATATATATATATATATATATATATATATATATATACATATATTTATATATATATATATATATATATATATATATATATATATATATATATATATATATATATTATATATATATATATATATATAAATAAAATTTATATACAGGGTTAGTATAAAAAGGGGTTATATGCAATGGAACCATATATCATGGTACTCATACATGGAGGACCCATGAATAACTTCCACTAAATAAATATGTAAGAACCATACATGAAGGATTCATGAATAATTTGTACTATTCATGTGGGAACCATATATAATATACATTATGCATAAAGGAAACACGAATGAATTCCAATATACATACAAGATTCATACATGGAGGAAACCATGCACGGAGAAACCATATGTGGAGCCATGTATGGAAAGATTTATACGCAATAAATCCACACAGTGAGAATCTGTACACTTAAGATCGATACATGTAAGAGTAATACATAGAGGAACTCATACATAAAATATCCCTAAATGGCGGAATAATACATGGATAATTTACACATGTATGATTCACATGCAGAGTGCATAAATGGAGATGCCAAACATGGACACTAATAAGTGAAACTTCCAAGTATGAAGCATGTGGAAGCCACACATATCCAGGCTGCATCTCCACTTATAAGATCAACATACATAGGTCCTCCAAACATGGAGGTATCTAATACATATAGATTGTCCATATATGTAGATTTCATACATGTAAAGTCCACATATGAAGGATCTAAACATGCAAACTTCACTCATATAGATACCACATATGTAGGAACATACATGGAAGGAATCCACACATGTAGGAACATACATGGAAGGACTCCTAACATGTAGGAACATACATGGAAGGACTCCTCACATGTAGGAACATACAAGGAAGGACTCCTAACATGTAGGAACATACATGGAAGGACTCCTCATATGTAGGAACATACATGGAAGGCCTCCTAACATGTAGGAACATACAAGGAAGGACTCCTCACATGTAGGAACATACATGGAAGAACTTTACGCATGTAGGAATGTACATGAAAAGAATTCACACATGAAAGAACATACATGGGTCTCCATGAATGGAGGAACACACATGGATGGTTTTCAAACATGTAGGAACAAACATGGAGGGTCTCCACACACACACACACACACACACACACACACACACACACACACACACACACGCACACACACACACACCACACACACACACACACACACACACACACACACACACACACACACACACACACACACACACACACACGCACACACACACACACACACACACACACACACACACACACACACACACACACACACACACACACACACACACACACACATGCCGTAGCACCAGAAAACAACACCAACATGGACAAAAAAATTATATAAATATAACGTGAATCAGGCTTACCATGCAGTTAACAGAAGGTTAATGTTGCAGGTTAATGGTTAAGGTTAATAGTTCAGGTTAATGGTGCAGGTTAATGGTGTAGGATGGTGGTGCAGGTTAATTGTTTAGGTCAATGATTCACATTAACTCCGTAAGTTGACGATGCAGGTTAATGGAACAATATTTCTGGATAATAGTTAAGATTAATTTTCTAGGTTAATGGTGCAGATTAATACCTCAGAGTAATGGTGCAGGTTAAGACCTCAGGGTAATGGTGCAGGTTAAGAATTCAATGTAATGGAATTGCTTAATGGTTTTAGTTACTGGTTTATTTATAAGGTGCAGATGAAGGATTCAGGTTAGTGGTGCAAGTTAATTCTTTAGGTTAATGGTGCAGAGTATTGGTGCAGATTAATGGTAGAGGTTGATTCTTCAGGCTAATGACGTTGCTTTATACAGGTGCAGGTTAAATATTTAGGTTAAGAGTGAAGAACATTTGTGCAGGTTAATGCTGCAAGTTAATGGTGCAAGTTAATGCTTTAGGTTAATTGGTTCTGGTTA